AGATGTGGGACTGGCCCTTCGGGGCCTGATCCATATTTAATTTAAGCCGGACGCTCGTGTCCAGATGTGCCACTGGAATGGGCAATGGGATTTGACATTCAAGTGACTTCTGTGCGCAGGCCATTGTAATTGTTCTTGTTGTGCTGGCCGCGTCGTGTGCTGTCCATCCAACCAATTCGCCCACTGACTCATCGCCCTTTCGGGCTCCTTTGTGTATCGACAGGTGGAGGACAAGTACGTGCGCACCCACCACGTGTTCTCCTTCAATGGGAAGCACCAGCACCAGCGCCGCACGCAGCAGCAGCAGCAGACGCAGCTGAGTCAGCAGCAGCTGCAGCAGCAGTATTTCCAGCAGCAGTACTTCAACCAGTACCATCAGCAGTATCACATCCCCGTTGGCCAATTCATGGACCGCTACGACAAAAGCCTACGATGGCCAGCAGGAGCTCGAGCGGGTGAGTAGCGGGTGATTGTCCACGGCGAGCAGAGACTGTGAGAGAATGGTCAAGAATGGCCAATAGTATCAAATCAAAAAAATAAGTTAATATGTTGGCATAACCGAATACTCGTTTTTAAAGTAAATACTGGGTAATCAGGCCCATTTCTTGTGCTCGCTAAAAATCTATTCTCTCCGTGTATCTGCAATTGGCAAGACAATATGCTGTGAATCACCACTGGCTAATGCGGCATTTCGGTGCTGTTTGAGCTCCAAACGAGGGTCTGCAGCGTTTACGTTAATTAGTTTGATTGCTGACCTGTGCTCCTTTTGCCAATCCATTCCTCGGCATTGCAGATGAGTTCCCGCACTTTTTGTCGCACCACCACGAGGGGCACGGCCACCACGGCAGCCTCTACAACAATCCGTTTGGATCGCTGGCCAACTACCACGACGTGGGCGAGTTCCACGAGGTGCATCAGCGCAACTACGACAGCAACAAGAAGAACATGGAGCTGAAGAAGCAGCAGCAGATGGAGATGAAGAAGCACAGGTGAGTGGGGGAGGCAGGAATGCAAGGACATTAATCACGTCGATCTCGACCGTTAAGTTGCCTGGATGGACCCTGAACTGTATTTATGGGCTATACAAATTAAAAAGCAGCAACTTTCAGAAACCAGCTTAGATGTACTATGTAGGTAAGCAAAGGTATATGCCGGGCATGAAAAGTTTTCGCACCGCCAGCGCGGCAAACTTTTCATATTCTTATCAATTTTCCAGGTTGCGTGTGTGGCGTGTTTATTAAAGTTTCCTTATCTATGGTCTAAAAGGATTTTGCCCGGCTAAAGCCAACGGCTGTTGGCACATTGTTAGAGTTTGTTGCCTTGCCCGGCGTCTTGTGCCTTTTGTTATATAACGCATAAATAAATTTTGTGGCTCCTTGTGGTTGGAACCCCTCACTTGGCTGGGTTTTCGAAATCTTTACGTGGCACGATTGGATGTGAAACGTAAATGAATGCAATAAATTATTTACGTTCACCTGTGATATTAAAAATCAAGCGAAGAAACTTTTCCAATATAACAACTTTTGGCCCTCTAACTTTTGGAGGAGTGTAAGGACGTGGTAGTATATAGAGTATATGATCCGGGTGTGTTGTGCCAGGACCAGAAGGAATGGCCGAGAGCGGATTGTGGTGGGCGTCGGCGAGGTGTCAGCTTAATGAAAGCCACGACTCGCTTGCTGCTTCCACGAAGTAGCTGCTCTTTGATGTCGGCATTGCACATACGCCACGTGCCACGTCTTGGGGGGCTCATAGATTGGTGGATGGAGGCTAGGCGTCGAAGCCCCGGGGCTGGGGTTAAAGCCACTTGAAATAGAAATGGTCCTGCGAGCAAGTTGAATGCAGAGCACTCAAGAGCCACATTCACGGCCTGGCAGCTATTGTAACAGCAACCTTTGCACCTGAGCGCTCAGCCCAAGCCTTCCAATTCCATTGGCCGAGTGGGTTGACAGGTTATGGATGGGGTAAAGAGGCAAAAATTGGACCAGCTCAAATGTCACGGCCCCTGGTAATTGGCAAATGAATTTGCCATTTAAAGACGGTTACTTGCCGCTTGGCTTTCCCATTAGCATAAGCCAAAAAGTTTCGAATTCAGCCTCCGTAGAATCCAGAGTTTATGGCCGTTAAAAGTTAGCGACGCGCATGTGTGTGCGATATAAACCCACTTGGTTAATTTGCCATAAAGTAAAAACCATAATTTACACTCGTGCCATTTCCTCGCCGGGTAATCAGCGAATGCTAATTGCATTTGCCGCGGGAAAGAAACCAAACCGAATGCACGAGCAGTGCGGAAAACTATTTTATAAATAATTCCCCACAACTCAGAGTGCTGCTGCTGCTGCTGCTGCTGCTGCTATAAGTAGATGTGGCAGGTAGTCCTGGAGTGGGTGCAAGGCTGTGATGAAGGGTCTGGGGCGGAACTAATTTCGCTGAGAGCCCAATGGCAATATGAAATAATTTATATTCAAAGCTCACGAGGCTCCAACGCTTACCATAAGCTGAGGTAATGGCAGCCAAGGATTTGATTCCTGTAACATCAAGAATATGTGATGCTCTTCGGGTGAAGTGAGACTAGAAGCACTGCTACAGACTACGTAGCAAGGATTTATTAAATCAATATAACAATATATATGCCAAGGCATAGATACATTTTCAGTTATTCATACCAGTATTACATACCAGTACTAGCATTTTCGAATACTCATTCCGCCCTAGGACGAGACGATAAAATCGTAGTTTACATTAAGTTGTATCCGTAATTTTTACACCTGCAGAACTGCGCTTAACTGTCCCTAAAAGACCACCTGCAGACACCTGTAGATGGCTTCAGTTATGGGCTTACGTGGGCGAGATTTCAGCCAAGACCATAACGAAACCTGTGAAGCCCTTTTGCCATAAAACCATGTGATAAGCGTTGCATATTTATGCAGCCGCCTGGCGTAAACTAGTGGAAAGTGGAAATTTGCAACACGGGGTGGCAAGCATAGGGGGATGGGAGCATGGGGGAATGGCGGAAAAGTGCACATGCAACAGCAGCGAAAACAAAGGCAGGACAAGGCCGAGCGGTGCAACAATAACCAGTAACAGGCAGCGTTTATGTGCATGCCAATGTGCATAAATTCCTTGGTTTCGCTACGTCCATGTTTGTGTTTGAGTTTGTGTGTGGGTTGCTTGGCTGGCCAGGCGTGGAATAAAGTGCTCTGTTTATTAAGTTTGTGCATCGTGGGCGGCGTGTGTGGGTGTGGCGAAAATATTCATGTTATTTTATGCAAATGCAATGCTAATGTCGCCGCCCACTGCCCTCTGAGCCCAGTGACCTTGCAAGATATACAAGTATGGGTCCCATAAAACATTGGGTTGGGGTCACTTGAATGCGTGCCAGTAGACTGTGACATCAGGCATGCAAAGTAATTAACCGCTTAACGTGATTACCGAGCATTCTGCCGACAATCAGACAGACAGACAGACAGACGGATAAGAAAGTGGCACTCGAAAGCCGGAACATCAAAAGGCTTTCATATTGCCGGAGTGTAGGAGTATACGACGTATTGTTTGCCTTTCACGGCTTTGTTGCCCCCTATTTTCTCTGGAGCAGGGCTTGAAGACCCTTTAAGATTGCAACATGAAAAGAACAAAACTGAATGGCAGCCAACGAGCAGACGTTGCACGGCTGAAAAGGCCATAACACGTAGCTCTGAATGAACACTTGTCGGGGGAAATGGGCAGCAAAGCTGGGAATCCTTCTGCACAACGAACACAATGCACCCTTATGCGCAAAGAAGAATTGTAAAACAATACATTTCAGTTGTATAATATATTCCCTTTAAAAAACTTATTTGTAACTTCGACGTTTGTAAAACAGCGCTTTAAATTAATCAAATAGAAAGACATTTAATTTAATCAAGTTGAAAATCCTAAAGTATATTACGTTCCCTACCTTTCAATGAGATATTACCTCTCTCAAGGGTAAGTAGTGCAGTGTTCATGAGAAAGATGGTTTAGAATGGGCCAGCAAGGACATGGCAGCAGGAATGGGAATCGTGGGCTTTATGCAGTCAAAAAGTAGTTTACACGTTGTTGCACAATTTATGTTTGTGCAACACGTAAGGCCTTTTGTGGCAGGCCCACGCCAGCAGAGAACTAAATGTTGGGCAGGTCTGAAGGTCCTTGTCTGCGTCTAGCTTCAACGTGGCTTTTATTCCGGCAGCTTGGTTGCCCTTTGCACACTTCCTTTGTGCCAGAAACCAGAAGCGCCCGAAACACAGCACACACGATACATCCGAATGGCAATCCAAAATGCCAACAAGCGGCAGCTTAAATCGGCCACGGGAAACACCTCTTTAATAAGAGCTCCACGAGCGTTGTTTTCGTGGTCTCCATCGGGGAAATCTGGCCACTTCGCTGCAAATGGAATTGCCATTAAAACTGCATTTTAAAATTATTTCGAGGTATGTCGTTGAGAGTTGCCGCCAACAACTGGGGAGAAACCAAAAACAAAGCACTTTCTGGTTTAGAAGTTTTGTGGTTCTATTTGCTTGCTTGTTGAAATTTCATGTTGGTCAACAAAGGAGCGCGCTCCTAAATGCAGCTAGTAATTTTCATTTAATTCTCAGTGTGGGTTTCTTTGGCAGCAACAGTGGCCGAACCAAATTGCCACCGACTTGACCCTCAAAAGGGCGCCCATTAAATGTCGCGACTGGTAGCGGTCATGAAGCGCCAGAAATTGGTTCTGTGCGGCGGTAATTAGCTCAGACCAGTTGGCCCTGATCGCGTGTAGGTTGGTAGTCCTTTAGGGCGGGTCAACGGTGGTCGTCGGTGACGTGCCATAAACCGCCGGCAACGAATCCGGGGTCAGAGGGCATGCACTTAAATTTACGGCCCCTTTTCGACCCAAACCGTCCAATGCCAATGCGCTTTTAGTTTTAATTACAGCCCAGGTTCTGACCGATAGGGGCTACAAGGCGATGCAATGACTTCCTGCATTAATCTCGACAGCAACAATATATCGGGCATACATTAAGTTAAGTTTATATTTTATACGGTAGCACTTAGGAGAGAGTGTGTGGACTAATTCGTAAATAAGAATGTGGTCTTGCGGGCTGCCTACTTGACCTTCTTTACAGGCAGGTACTGGGAACTGGGCGCTGCGACTGGTGGTGGAATGTATCCTACCGAAGGAGTCTCCAGGTCGGCGCTTACACTTCCGCTGGAAGCCCGACGCTCATCAATCAGCTGCACCTGCGGCTGCTGCTGCACTTTGGTGGCAAAGTCCAGGACGGGTGCAACGCCTCCGTTGTGGGAGGTGGAGGAACCACCCAGACGCTCGTACTCCTGCTGAATGGTATGCTGGGCATTGATGGCGTCCTCCTGGGTGCGATACTTGACGAAATGCACCTCCGGCTTGCTGGCGCTCACATGGTTCAGGTTCTGCAGCTGGTTGGCCAGGCTGGACAGATCACCCTGCTTGGTCAGGACATAGATGGCGGTCTGCTGCTCGGCGGCCTGCTTGGCCAAGGCCAGAGCGGCGTTCTCCAGACCCTTGTTCTCGGGGGTCTTGATGAAAACCACACGGAGGTTCTTCTTCAGCGAAGTAGCCAGATCATTGACACTCTTGTTGTCCTCGAAATCGGCCTCGGGAGCAGAGTAGGTGAAGAACTCCTTGTTGAACTCGGTGTTTACGGGAGCGTAGCCGCTGGAATAAGATCCCCCAGAGAGGGAACCACCTGAGATCGAACCTCCAGAAATGGAACCTCCAGATAGAGAGCCTCCAGAGATGGATCCGCCTGATCCAATGCCAGCTCCATAGCTGTAGCCACCCACATCAGCGCGAGCCACAGCCAAGACAGCAAAAATCTGCCAAAGAAAGCTCGAGTTAATCCAGTTATTTCAAACTAATAATACCATTTCAGCTTACGATAAATCCACGCATATTGATGGCTCCTCTCCTAACCAATATTCGATCGAATCTGTTAACGTGTTGGGCACGCCGGGAGGTGTAAACTGTTAATGCTGCAGCCCATCTGGTCGAGGGGCGTTTTTATAGCCCGGCCCCAATCGGGTCCAATACAAGATGCAGATCTTCGTGGTGAGACAGCGGGTGTAGCCCATGCCATTGATACCCAGGCCAGGCCAGCACAAATACCAATACCCGTTGCAGGTGACGCAAAGCCCTCAAAACTGTATCCGCCAGCATTTGTTTGCATAAATTGGAAAACGGTTTGCCAATTTCGTTGGCAATGAAATGCAAAAACAAACCACGACGGAACTGGATGTTGGTAGGCCAAACCAGAAATTATGGCCACTTAAGTGGAGCAATGCCAGGCGATTTGCATAGCTGGTCGCATTTAATTAATTGCAGTTCAGCCAAATAGCTGGCGTAAAAAGGAAGAAAAGCTAAATAAATCAATTACAGCGTTCGCAGAATTCTGCGAATGATTGGTCAAATTCAATATTAATTAATTCAGTCAATATATCTCTCCGGCAATTGCAAATTGGTAGACCGTGGCAGTGGACACAGCCTAGATGAAACACAAATCAATCGCTAATCGAACAGCGACTCTCTGCTGACTGTCCACCGTATCTAGTTTATGGTTTATAATTTCGATTTCGTAAATACACTGAGCAGCAACAAAAAACAAAAGGGGCGCATTCAAAAAATACCTATTTATGCAAATTAACCCCGCATCGCTTTTGGCATTTTTCTGTGGTTTAGGGTTTTGTTTTATTGTGTTTTGCTGTGCTTTCCATTTACATATTATTGGGCATTTATGATAGCATTCATTGTGGAATTTGATATGCTTGATTCATTCATTGATTGCCCAATTCAACTTAAGGTTAGGGACATTCGTTGCATACTTTTAGGGCTGCCAGCAGTGGCTGTCAAACTGTTAAGCCGGTAATGAACTTAGCCCCGATGTCTGTTGGCCCTGTGGCGCTTTCCATCGAAATGCAATCAAGCTAATTACGGAAATATGCATTTTTCAAGCCAAACATGAACATGCAACTTCGTGATTGACGATAAATGCCCAATTAAGCCAATTACCAGCGGTTGGTAGCCGGCAGTCGCGTGCAACATGTGTGGCAGCCACAGGCTACCAACTGCTTTCGTAATAATTTGATTTAAACTAAATTTATCAAATTGTTTTTCCAAATTAAGTGGGTTAAATGATGAGCGATCGTCTGTCACTCCCTTAATGAACAATTTTCCGTTTGATTTGACCTCTAATTAGTTGGCCAGCGGAGGTGGAAATATTGGTTTGGCAGCAGGACACGCATGCAATTAATATAAATAGTTTCAGGGGCACTTAATGAAGTTTTCGCATTTGCATTCCAATGCCAAACAACTCGTTCCCTGTCGTTCTCACTGGCACTTGGCCCTGTTTTTGCGTAAAAGGTAGGAATCCTCGGATCCGGCGAAATGGAATGGGCCTGCTGCCCCTTTATAGTGCATAAATTATTCACTGAACCGCATGCCAGGACGAGTCGGTGGCGACAAAAGAAGCTCTGCTGTCAGTTATAATTTCACACGCGTAACAGTTGCCGTTGTCAGTTGTGCTGGTGGTGGTACAAAGGTAGTTAATGGTGCCAGTGGAGTTTCCTGTCGGCCTACACTGCACGACTTATTGTAAATTGGCCAAAAGGGCAAGCAACTGCTTATGGGAGCAAGCCGTAAATTATGAAGCATTAAAGCAATTTATTTTAAATACAGCTTTGATGTATAGATTTCTAGTTAACATTTTAAAATATTTACTTTGTCGGATGCCAACTTTTCTGCCAGTGTGCTGTTGCTGGCTAACCCAGTTTAAAACTCGTTTTTTCCAGCGCTCTTTTGTGCGCGCGCGCATTTGAGCCGTAAGTTATACACTTGTTAGGTCGACATCGACTTGGCATCGCTGCCGATGACGAAACACTTTACACTCATGAATAGTTAATACAAATTAGCTGGCCCTGGGCAATTACTTGGCAACAAAATGTGCATGCGTTGCGCTGTGTAATTTTTGGAGTAGAAGTGGTGGGGGTTTTAACTCCCGGCCCAGGATTTGATTTTGGCCAAAAGTTTGGCTAGTAATCTGTTTGGTTTCTTTGCCAGTTGCCGTTGTAGTTGTTTGCCTGTTGTTGCCAAGTTGCGGTTCACCCAAGTTCCGGTTTCCGATCTCAAGACCTCTTTTTGTGCATGGCGGCATAAGAAATTCATGGTTTTGCTCGTAGCCCTTGCGCCCACTTAAGTTGCTTTGCTTGTTCCAGCTAAGTGGGTTGATGGTGGGTCGAATGCTCTTGTTTCGATTGGAAATCTTGTTGCTTCGGACCCTTCAGTGCTGTCGGTTGTACAGAGGGATGGTTTTGGCGAGAAGGGAGCTAAAAGTTTCATACAATAACATAAAGTTAATGAAATGGAATTGTAACATCGATCGGAATATCTAATCCCTATCCTTTAGCACGTCAAAATTTGTCTGAAGTGGTGATTTTGTGGGATTATATGTTTTACAACTGCTATCATCGCCTGCCGTCAAAAACTTTCTAATAAATAAGAACAGCTTGAAAGATGTAACATCATTGAAACAAAAATGATTGCGTTTCATATCAGTAACGCTTATAGGCTGTCAGGTTACTCTATGAACTAATCAATGTTAGTCCTGATATATGGGGTTCCACACCAACAAAGTTTGAACAATTTAGATTACTTTATCGAGGAGTTAGGAACTCGGCAGCACTATTTCCGACACATTTCTGGACTGCCGTGTCTATCATAAATTGCTAATAGGTTCTGTTGCGCTGGCATCGAAGCCTTCGGTTCGTTTGCCTGCGTTTGTAAACGGAATTAGACTGCGGTTTTTGTGGCCCAGAGACACATAAATATTCCACAGCAGGGAGCAGAACGAAACTACATGACTTATCAATTAATTAGGCGCATTTCTCAAATTATCGCCTTGGGCCGGGCCAAAAAACCCAGAAGGCGCTTTTGCATGTCAGCTGCGAGTTAAGATATTCCACAGTTTCTTGCCAAGGGTAAGGCGGAATTTAAAGTGTCATGCCAGACAGCAGTTTCATAACTTTCACACACACACACACACACACACACACACTATTTAAGGACGAGAAGGAGCACAGGGATGAGGACGGAACACCGGGTCCCGCATTTCCGTCTGATTTGAATTGCTCGGCAAGTTTGTTATGTTTTGAACTTGAGCTTCCTGCCACGGCAGCTGAAGCTGTTGTCCTAGCTGTTTTGCCCTGAAAGTCCCAGCTCCTCGCCCTGTTTTCACTACCGGTGGCAGCGTTTCCTGCGAAAAGTGCGCTGCATAAGGAATTTTATTAAGACAACTGCAGCAGGGGAAGTAGATGTGCAAGTAGCTTCGCAGTAACAACAGCTCCGTTGATGATGCCCTAGATGCAGCTACCAGCTGTCATCATCTCTGCAGCTAGTATTGAAGCAGGAGCTGGAGCTGTCGAAGGCTTATGGAAGGATGTTGTGCATTTGTTCTGGGTTTTGGCCCGCATTTTTGTTTGCTTTGCTGGCTTAACTGGCTTACTATCGGAGCTGTTGGCTGTCGGTTGCTCTCCTACTGCTATATATTGCTCGATATTGGTTGAGTTCTCCATGAACGCTTCTCCAGACCAATTGTTTGACCTTTATTCGTGCTACGGCTTGCAAAGCATACCCAAAATGGAACTCAATGGAAAAAAATTGTGCATTTTGGCAAGGAAACCAATATCTGGTATTGTTTTGTTTTGACCATTTCATTAGACCCAAAGTGGTACCAACTTTAATAGCTGCAAATGAAATCAAATTTCCCTGCACGGCCATAATGAATATTACTTTTCCGATTTGAGTGCCCATTGTGAGGAATTTCAAGCGTATACAGATGTCGTCTTGTGCCGTCACAATTTGCATGACACTTGCCCATTTTCCTTCCCAGTTGTCAAGTGTTCAGTTGCACAGAGGAAGTCTGGATATTCTGAAACATATATACATACACATCGGAAAAGATTGAAAGAGAAGCAAACACTCCATGGAAAGGCAACTTTTTGCTGACACCTTGCTTTATCAGGCGAGTGCCTGCGGCATTCGTATCCTTCCTCTTCGACTTAGACTGCGAGTTTTGCAGTCAGTGCACTTTAAGCTGAATATTATTTAAATATAATTGTGCTAAAATTCCATAGCATTTACTTTGCAATTTGCATAAGCAGGAAAGTCGGCAGCAAGGACAAGAAATATGCAAATGGTATAATTGTTTAAATGTGACGAAAGTGAATGCTTTTCACTCCAATTTAAAGGCGATGTTGTCATACGAATTTCGACATATCCTACATATGTAAATGTCGGCCATAAACTAGCACAGCTGACAATTGTTTAGACAGCATTAAACTTAATGGCCTCGACATTATTTTCTCAAGAATCTGTGTGTGTTTGTGTTCGAGTGTAAGTCTGTATCCTGGCAATACCAAAGCTAATTTCGCTGTCATTTTGAATTTGTAATAAAGCAACATGTCGCCGTACATGAACAAACGAACATCCCCAGAGTAATTACAGGGGAAGGGATCTGGAAGCCCAAAAGCCACACAACCGCTTATCCGCAGATCCGGCTTCATTTGTATGCCGTTCAGGCTTCTTATCAAATATGAAGCCAAGTCGTAAAAGCTAATTAGACTCACAATGTGCGATACGGCTGAATAATGCAAACTAATCTGGCCGGAATGCAGGCGAACCATTAGAAAGCCTTACCAATCAGCAAAAAGGCAAAAACTCGTGCTTATGTGCCCAATAATCTCTGACATGGTATTTTCTTTCTCGGAAACCGAATGAGCCACTTTTGCAATACAGTGGCCATTCAGACTTGTGAAGTTTGTTGTACGGCTATCAATTACTCAGGGATCTT